GGCGCCGGCGCAGCCCGTGAGGGGAGGCGGCAGCCGCTGTCACCCTCGCCGGGGGCAGGAAGGAGAGAAAGCGGAGGCGACATCCGGAGGGCAGGGGGCTCAGCCCGGGGATGTGACACCAGGGAACTCCTCACCCGCCCTGTTCTGTCTTTGCCGCAGCTGCCTGCGCTCTTCCAGCATGCAGGGGTCTGGAGGTAAAGGATGGAAGATGCAGGGGGTGTGCCAGGGTTGGAGGGGTGAAGGGAGACATTATTGGGGCTGACACAGGCCAAGGCCGAGGAACTGGCAGGCGTTATCGAGTAAGTCGGGGAGAGGAAATGCTAATTCTAGCTCGGGGAGAGCATGTATGGGGCCACCTGCCTTAGAATGCGTGGGGCTTGGTGTGCTCAGTGGATAACCCTCATTTTGTTGCCCTACTGCTGTCCTCTCCAGCAGGCGTGTGTGCAGGAAAGAGCAAAGAGCTTGTTTTTCTCGGTGATAAGAACCCCTTTGCGGCTAATGCCATACTGGGTTGAGATGGTGAAGTGTGCTGGCTCATTCGAGCTCTCTGCAGTTTCTGTTCCTCCGTTTTTCTGTGCTAATCCTGGAAATGCTCTGTGCGCTGCTTAGGCACCTCAGCCTCTGGCTGGACTTAAACTCCTGTAGCCCTCAGTTACACATCTTCCTCTCTGTTACTCCTCTCAGGCTCAAGGCTGACTTCATATAGGTTTCTTCCTTCTGCTCTCCTGCCAGGTGCTGAGAAGATGGCCTCCCCAGGTGCCCCAGGGACCCGCATGACGTCCACAGTCAGTATCAACATTTCTACCCCTTCCTTCTACAACCCACAGAAGAAGTTTGCACCTGTGGTTGCCCCTAAACCCAAGGTGAACCCCTTCAAGGCTGGGGGTGCATCAGAGTCGTCGCTGCCCCCACCTCCTGGAGCTGGCACCCAGCGTGCTCAGATAGGGAAGGTGGGGGAGATTCCATCAGCATCCATGTCCCTGCTGGCAGAAGGTACGTGAAGGCTGTCATGGCATTTCTGAATTCCCAGGGTGTGAGTTTTGTAACTGTTAACATGAAAACAGGACCATAACTGCTATAAGTGAAGAATACTTTTGCTGTAGAGGCTAGCAGGTTCCAAAATGAAATAAAACAATTGTAAAGGGATCTCAGAATTTGTAGTATCTCCGTTAGGAAAGGAGCCAGGAAGGTAATCCCACATTGCACTGATGCTGGAGGAATGCAATGGATTTTTCATAGTATTCCCTGAGCGCATAACTGTGTAACTGCAGTCAGTTTCTGGCCAGCATGTCTGAGAGCAAATACGTTGGAGGGAAGTTGACCCTGATGGTGATGCATCATGCTATTCTCCTCCTTGTTGATTCATCTCAGTTCAAGTTGGTTGCCTCTAACTGTTGAGATCCTTCTCGTGGACTCTGCAATTGCCATCTTTCCTGCTGGAGATGGGGAGGAAGAAAGAGTTGCATGAAATAATGGTGGAAGCTATCATAAACAGAAACTGAAACTTAGAGTTTGTATGGCTTGTAGAGTTTTATACTTTTTTTCAAGGGGTTTGAGTTGGGTGTGTTTTCCTGTGTAGACTGACTTCTTGCTTTAATGTGATCTTCTTTCTTTTTTTGTTTTTGTTTATTTCCTGTGGTGGTGGGCTGTTTTTGTTTTGTTTTTTGTTCATTGGTTGTTTTTATGTCCTCTGAGAAGCAGAAAGTTCCCGGTTGTGTGGCTCCCTAGTTGGAATTGATCACCATGGGGCCACTCATAATTTCCCTAGCACTAATGATGCTGCGTATTAACCCAAGACTCTATCAGGGTGCACCTCAGTCAGGACACTCGTGTTCAGATAATGCTAACTACTGTTTTAAATTTATTTCCTTTCACTGTCTAGCATAGACTGTGCAACACTGATGTTTTCTAGGTTAGTATGCTAAGTTAGTGGGCAGCTGACCTGGTGGTAGGAAGGCTGGTCCTGTGCTCAGAGGAGACAAATTAATAAGCCATTTTTTCCATTTCTTGAGTCACAAGGCCCTCAGCAGGTTTATGCTTCTGTCTCCTGGGATTGGCTAACTCTGGTTACCTTTCTCACATGTTGTTGACTGGAATCTTGTGTCTGTAATCCAAGGTCCCATCTTAGGCTTTATGATTTTCTGCTGTAGTTGTGTGGATTAGGGATGTGTCTGTTGGAAGGCCTCAAGCTGACAGAAAGACATGACCTGAAGTACAAAAGTAGACAGATGGATGTTAAAAATTATTTTTCAGTATATAGTGCGAGTGGAGGATTGGGTGCTGTTTGTTTGCTGCACTTCTCTCTTCCTTATAAAACTTATTATGGAGGAACTAACTTGACAGAAAGATTAGCAAAAGAACCATTCAGCTTAAGCTGCTGTGTCACCATCTGGTGAGGGCTGCCAGGAAGACATCTGAAGTACAGATGAACCACCAAAACTCAGTCATGAGAGAAATGCATCTGATTTGATCCTTCTCTGATGCATCTCTTCAATCCTTCTCTCCCTTTCCTATGTACTCCACAAACAAATAGTAGTATAACATAAAGCCATAGCAATTGGTCTCTGTCTTAAATGACAAGATGACTAAGTACTGCTGTATGAATGTTATATTTAGTATTGATCTATAAACCTGGTACAGTAACTTTGTGGGGAACTTTTTTGTTTATGTGAATAATTCACATAACAGGCTTTTAGTGTATTTGAAACAATGTGACAGCAGATTACAACTTTGTTTCTGCAATGTTCTTTATCGTTGCAATAAATCAAAAGGCAAGCACATACAAACTTGGTCCCAAACTGTAGTTTCAAAGCAAAAATACCAGCTTAGTATTACTTTCCCCCCGCCCAAGCAGAATTTCTCTGGCACAAGAAGGCTTGAAAGAGGTGCTGCATACCAGTGCAGTTTATGCATTCCACTGGCTAATAAGATTTTTGCTTTCATTTTCTGAAAGGGCGGTATCATCTCCTTTAGGTTACAGATGAGAAGTCCTTACAAAGTCTGTTGGCAACATCTGGATATAAAGATGAGACAATTGAATTACTGCCATTTTTCTCGCCTGCACATGGAGTAGCAGGAGAGAAAAACGTGGTCTTCCACCCTACTGCTGATTGGGGCTAGCTAGGAAGAGAGGTGGGTGTCCAGAAGAAGGGATGTGGAAGTTATGCCTCCTTGTCTTCAGTGTCCTTTGCTGTTTGGATGATAAGAGGACAACTTCTCCCATACAAGGTGAAGGGAAAAGAGTTCACATTTATTTGACTGCATTGTAGTAGAAAATCTCTTTTTGCCTGTTCCACATCTTTGGCAAATATGAATAGGTGGAAGCAATCTTCTAGGAGACTGAGGCACTCTGATGCTTTTCAGCCTGCTTAAAAGGGTTCTGGAAAATTTCTCATGTCCTAATCTGTATCGGGTATGGGGACATTTTAGCCTCCAAAAGGAAAGCTGTTTTCATCTCCCAGAAAAATAAAGCAGTTTGAAAGATTCCCCATTAAAAAAAATATAAAACCTGGATGAAGTGGGACTGAGCTGGACCTGCTGGCTGAGAGGCACAGGGGGTTGTGATCGCAGAGAGGGCACCAATCGTCATCTTCTCCTGGTCTGGGACACTGTGTGGGAGCTCCTTGGGAGACACATGGAAACCACTGGGGAGCTCAGACAAACTCAGAGGTGAATTTTCATGTTAGGGTAGCTTCTGCCTTATACCAGCCTTCCAGTACCTGAAGAGAACCTACAAGAAAGCTGGAGGGGGACTTTTTACAAGGGCATGTAGTGGTAGGACAAGGGGTTTAAACTGAAAGAGGGTAAATTTAGATTAGCTATACGAAGGAAATTCTTCACTATGAGGGTGGTGAGATAGTGTAACAGGTTGCCCAGAGAAGTTGTGGAAGTGGTCAAGGCCAGGCTAGATGGGGCTTTGAGCAACCTTGTCTAGTGGAAGGTGTCCCTGCCCATGGCAGGGGGGTTGGAACTAGATGATCTTTAAGGTCCTTTCCAACCCAAACCATTCTGTGATTCTATGATTCATATGTGTAAGGCGTAGTTCATTTAACTTGCTTTTTTCCCCCGACTTGTTTCTTGTAGTGCTTACTAGCCAGCTGCGAGGTGCCAGCTTGTTTTCCTGTAATAATGCAGGCTCTTCCAGGTTCTGGGTTGTCTGCTGTCATTCCTTCTAATGCTCTGTATTCTGCAATCTGAGCCAGTTACTGGTGAGAGACAGACATGCCAGGGACCAGAGAATGAGAGGAGGAGGAGGGAAGGGCATAGTAAGACATGTTTCCCAATTATACAATAACCATCCCAGTGACTAATTGCAGAGGCTACTGAGGAAAGTTTACATGATGGCAAATAGCTTTGCACAAGTGAAAGCCAGCCTGTGGAGTTCAGTTGTCCTTGATGGGTGCTGGGGTCCCCTGGGTACTGTAGAACTGCTTGCTGTAATACATTCAAGACCCCTCCTGGGATGTGTACTGTCTAAGAGTAAGAAATGATCCAAACTTGCTTTTATTCTCATTCTTCCCCATAGAGCTGCCGCTGCCACCTCCTCCCCCACCTGGAGAGGAGGCAAGTTTCTCCTCAAACTGTGCTTTCCCCCCTCCGCCACCACCCTTTGAAGAGCCTTTTCCACCAGCCCCAGAAGAAGTTTTTCCTTCTCCTCCTCCTCCACCGATGTTTGATGAAGGGCCTGTGAGCAAGGTACCTGCTCCACAGGTGAGTGACATCAGGGGAAGTAATAGTTTCTTGTAATGTTCTGTGAGTGGAGACAGCTTCTGACTACTCTCAGAACTCATCAGCAGAAGCCCTGAGATCTGGGAAAGCAGAAAATTCTACCACCCCATCGGGTCAACTGGCTGGGCTACAGCTCTGCAGATGAAGGACCTGGGGTTCCTGGTGGACAGTGAGTTGAACATGAGCCAGCAATGCACCCTTGTGGCAATAAAGGCCAACCACATGCTGCATTTGTGAGAGTGTAGTCAGCAGGATAAGGACAGTGATTATTCGTCTGTCTTTGGTGCTAGTGAGGTTGCGTCTTGGAGGACTGTTTCCAGTTGGGCTTCCCAGTATAGTAACCCAAGAGGGATACTGAACTAGGTGCAGTCCGGCAAAGGGTCATAGTGATCGTTGGGGGTTGGAGCACATGATGAGAGAGCTGGGTTTGTTCAGCCTGCAGAAGAGGAGGCTGCCCAGTTAGGGATATAACTGCAGTCTGCAATACCTAAAGGAGGGCTGGAGAGAAGACAGATTCTTCTTCCTGGGGCACAACAAGAGAACGAGAGACAATGGACACAAGTTTCAGCAAGGGAAATTCCCATTGGACAGAAGAAAATCCAGTTCCCCTCCAAGGGTGGCTCAACACTGCACAGGTGCCTAGAGATGCTGGGATATCTGTGTCCTTGGGCATGTTCAGAAATCACCTGGACAAGGCCCTGAGCAACCTGATCTAGCTTGGGATTTAGCCCTGCTGTGGGCAGCGTGTTGGACTAGAGACAGAGACCTCCAGATGTCTTTTCACACCTAAATCTGTCTGAGTTTCTTTGAGCTGTGCATTTTCCCACTGTTTGTAGACTTTGGAGACTGTTCCCTGTTCATCCTCACCAACTTGGTATCCACTCAAAACAAGGAGCAGATCTGTACCACAGTCCAAAGTGTCAAAATCTGCTATTGTAAGGGGATACACCCGGTTCTCTGGCTGTTCCCGTAACATGCTCTGCTCCCTCTTTCCTCATGGATGGTGGTATAGGTACGTGGCAAGATGAGCAGCATTGATCTTGAGATTGACTCACTGTCCGTAATGTTGGATGACATGGAGAAGAATGACCCCTTCAAATCCTGGGTGAGCTCTCCAAAATGTTGCAGGTGGAAGGAGAGATGACTAGTTTGCTGAATGGAGGTAGTGAGAAGGGTGCTACTGAAGATTAAAATGTCTGGATAAAACATAGCAAGAAAGTGTACATGAAGGACCAGAAAGATCTTGTGAGTGGTCAGGACTGCTAAATGTGTAACAGTGTGGGAATCTTAGCATTGTGGGTCTGGGATGGCTGCTGACTTACTGCTGACTTATATTTTCTCTTCCACCTTGCTGATAACTGCCTGTTTCTCTCTATTGCTTCCCTTTACAGATATCTCCAGGATCCACAGGTTCTCTCGAGAAGTCATTGGCCCCAAAAGCCCATGTGGAAATACCACCTGCACCCAGAGATACTCCTCATTCCTTCCCTTCCAAGTTCACTCCAAAGCCAAGTGGAAGCTTATCTTTCAAGACCCCTGGAGTGGATTTGACCCCTGCCCCAACTCCATGGGCAGCCCCACAGCAATGCAAGGAGCCCCTAGCACCAGTCCCTCCACCCCCCTTTCTCCCTCCTGCTCAGACTACCCTTAAATTCACCCCACCCGCTGTTGCTGGCTCTCCTAAATCTGGGTCCAAATCAGGTGCCAATGTTCCCATGGCTCCCTCAAACTCTACAAGATATCCTACTTCCCTTCAGACTCAGTTCACAGCCCCTTCACCTTCAGGTCCCTCCTCTCGGCCACAGCCTCCCAATTTCACCTATGCACAGCAGAGGGAAAGACCCCAAGTGCAGGAGAAGCCACGTCCCGCAGAACAGCCTGCTGCTGCAGAAGACACGGTAAGGGATAGAGCCATAGGACCAGTGTCTTTGGACAAGCACAGCATCACTGGGAGTGTAGTCGGAGGATGAGGAGGGAGGGTCTGTCCCAGGCTAGGGGAAACTGTTACCCCTCTGAGAGAGAGGTGTAACTAGAGACAGTGTTGGAGAGGGACAGACTTCATGTAAAGGTGGAAAGAAGCAAGCACAGTGGATAGCAGATTGTTCCCTAGAGGGAGACAGAGAGGAGAAGTTAAGGTGAGAGAAGTAGGTTTATTAGGGACAGAGTGGGAGGGAGTCTGTCAATATGTGTCCTTTGGGATTGAATGTTTCCTCTTTCTGCAGCATAGAACCACAGGCTCCAGTGCAGATCCACCTAGGGGAAATTCCTGTCTGACCATGAAGGAGGTAGAAGAGCTGGAGATGTTGACCCAGAAATTAATGAAGGATATGGAGCATCCGCCGGCAGCAGAAGCTGCTACTTCTGGTGTGTTCCCTCAGTGGACAGCAGTTGGACTAAGACTGGTGTGTTTTCCTCTCTCCTAATCCCTTTATTCTTCCATTGACAGAGCTCTGTGGCTTCTGCCGGAAGCCCCTATCACGAACCCAGCCAGCTGTGAGAGCCCTGGACTGCCTTTTCCACGTGGAATGCTTCACCTGCTTCAAATGTGAGAAGCAGCTGCAGGGGCAGCAGTTCTACAACGTGGATGAGAAGCCCTTCTGTGAGGACTGCTATGCTGTAAGTCACTGGGATGAAAGCTGCTGGAGAGAGCTGAGCTTGCTGTGGTTGCTCTCTCTTGTTATCCCTTCCTCCTTCCAACTCGCCTGTCTGTGGTGTAGCCTCCTAGGGGTGGGGGATTGGATTAATGTGTCTTACTTGTTTCCTTTGGGCTCAGGGGACCTTGGAAAAGTGTAGTGTCTGCAAACAGACCATCACAGACCGGATGCTGAAGGCCACTGGTAACTCATACCATCCCCAGTGCTTCACCTGCGTGATGTGCCATACCCCTCTTGAGGGGGCTTCTTTTATTGTGGACCAGGCCAACCAGCCTCACTGTGTGGATGACTACCACAGGTATGGGGAGAGCATGTGCATGTGGTATCTGAAAGAAGGCAGATTCCATCACACCTGTTAATTTTGCTGCAGTAACAGTTGGGCTGCCCATGTGATCTGTGGATGTGCAGTTAAAGATGAGACAGCAGTGTATCTTGTAGCAATTAAGGTCTTTTCCCACCTAAACTTCTTTGTGATTTATTATTCCTCTGCTGCTAATACTGCTAATGCAGGTGAGAAACCTGCATTGAATGCTGCTATGGTGGTCACTGTCGTCTTCATGTGTTTGTGGGTTGTAGGAAGTATGCTCCACGCTGCTCAGTCTGTAGTGAGCCTATCATGCCAGAGCCTGGAAAGGATGAGACAGTGCGTGTGGTGGCATTGGAGAAGAATTTCCACATGAAATGTTACAAGTGTGAGGTAACCCTGGCGGCCCCCCTCCACCCATCTTTCCCATCACCAACAACCTTTGTTGTCTATCCTGACCAAACACTGATTGTTTTGAATTAATCTGGAGCATTTTGAAGTAGGTTCAGAAGATTAGGCATTCACAGGTCCATGAACAAGGACTATGCAAGGCTGTAGTCTCTTAACATCCCTAATACAGCAGCTGTGTATACCAGAAGAACATGCTGGAATCACAGAACGGGCTTACTATTTTGAGGGAAGAGCATCTCCCATTAGCTCTGTCAGAGACGGAGCAGTGGGCTGTGAGCCATTATCGTGATCCAGTGGGGCATTTCTTACATCCTTGAATGCGTTTACATTGCTGTTGGCTGTCATTGAGCTCTGACCCTCTTTTCTTTTCCTGTTTAGGACTGTGGGAAGCCCTTGTCCATTGAAGCAGATGAGAATGGGTGCTTTCCACTGGATGGGCATGTGCTGTGTATGAAGTGTCACACTGTTCGTGCCAAAACAGCATGCTGAGGAGCTTAGAGTGGGCATACCCTTGAGGCCCCTGCACTCAATACTCTTCCCCTCCCTGCCATTTTCCTGTCCCTCTGCCTGACAAGGCTGACTGCTACCAATGGAGACTATGCCAGCACAGTTCTTTACTCATGTAGGATTCACTGCTCCTAGACGTCACTCTGCACACCCACCAAGAAAGGATCCTTTCTTCTGTCACCACTTCCTGGCTACAGTGTATTCCAGACTGGGGGCTATTATCAAGGTCTCTTGCAAAATCTCTCTTCCCTTAAGACTCTGAAGGAGAAAGACCAGACCTCCACCACCGCCTGGTGGAAGTAGCAAGAATGACCTGGTGGCAGGTGCTGGGGAGGGCTGAGCATTTTTCTGTTCCATGGAGCCAAGAACTATGATTTGACCTTAAAAGGTGGAAGACTCCAATTCGGCACCACTTCTGTCTTTGAGTTTGTTGTTGTTTTTTTTCTTGTGTCACCTCATTATCAGGATGTCCTCCCCTGCTCCCTCCTTCACTCCTGGGTTAGAGTGTGGAGACAGAACATATTTGGAATCTGTGTTATTGTTGCTGGAAAAAGCTAACCTACTATAGTGTTTCTGTCTCTAATGAATTTTACTGGCTAACTATCTTGTCACTTTTTTTTTCTTAGCCAGATTAAACTGGCAATGTTTGGAGTCCTACTCTATTCTGAGTTTGGAAACTTTTTTTTTTAAAGCTTTTTTCCCCTCCCCAAAATGAATTGTTTCCCAGTGTGGTTTCTGGACAGCCAGGCTGGACACCAGAATAGCAAAGTAGTCCAAAGAATGCATGTTTACAAATAAAGACCATCATAAGGATGGGCAGCACATGGTGAGGAGGCATCTCAATGTGTGGATGAGGATTCAGCAGACTGAGGAATGTCTCCTTGTTCTGGTAGGGATTCTTTCACTGCTGTCGGTGAAAGCCGCAGTGTAATTGCGACATACTGTCTGGCTCTAAGTGTTACTCTACTGAGCCCCATTTCCTGGACTAGAAACTCTCAAACTGAACAAATCTTTTGAGTAAGTACACTGTCCAACCACTGTTTGCATTCAATAAAATGTGGCAGTTTTTTCTGTTAACATGTGTCTACTGTCTTTGTTCAACCACCGATGAGAATTCCTGTCTTAAGCAGTAGAGAATGTGTAGTTGCTATTCCACCTAGCCTTCAGAGATGATGAGTCTGAAAAGGGCCTTTCTCTCTCCACCTCTTGGTCTCCTTTTCAAACTGTTTAGTTTCCTACTTTTCTGTGCTTGAAGAGTAGCTCTTATTTAAAGCAGTAGCAGACTGCGTTTCAGTACAGCAAGACTGTAGTCTGCTTGATGGTGTCACTGGGAGGCAAGTTACTCCAATCCACTTGCATTGGCCTGGAATAAAGTGGTCAATTTGCTTGCATTGTCTTAACTATTGCTACTCAGAAAGTGTTTGTGCTTGATGTTTATGGCTTTAAGCATGGTACTGTCTTGGTCACAGAAGGTAAAATTCCTTTGTGGTAAGCATCAATGCTTCTACTCTTCAAAGACATGAAACCTACTCTTGCTCCCTTGCCAGTTTTGAGGAAATCTTTAATGACTCCTTTCAAATAGATCCTGTAAATGCTTTGAGGTTTCCTACAGGATGAGCAAAGAAGAAACAGATTGTACATTTGCTTTCTTTTTCTTTTCTTACCCGAGTTCTTGCTGGTTTGTAGGCATCGTTTTGAGTGATTGTTTCTAGATTATGATTAAGTGATTAAAAGCTTATGCCCACAAATGCCAAGGAGCACAGAGGACAGAAATAATAATGGAGGGGAGAAGCACTTTAACCTAGCTCCTCCCAGAGCTATCAGAGGACTATAGCCCTGGTGTCTGGGTATGAAACCTGTCCAACAGAGTCAATGGGAAGGGCTGTCTGGATCACCTTGCTGATTAAGGGGAGGTTAGTCCTTCTGAGGGACATGGGGTGCAGGGGAAGAGCATTTGAGGACTGTACAACTCTGTTGGGATCGCCCTGCAAGGGCTCGACCTTAAGGAGAAGGAGCTGTGGCATTGAGAAGCTGGTAAACAGCTGGACACCTGCAGGGCTCAGCCTTGAGGAGAAGGAGCTGTGGTAAACAACTAAGAGGAAGTAAAGGAGCGCGTGGACACCTGCAGGCAGCGAATCCTGACTGTGGAGGAGTGCGTGGACTGTGTGTGGTAACCAACCAGGACGTATTTTGTGGCACGTGAAAGAGCTGTAACTGCATAAAAAGCAGACAATTGTAGCAATAAAGGTCTTTGGCCTGAATCCCCGCCAGAGTCTGTGCCCTGTTATGCCACACAACTCCTGCTATGGGATGTGTAGGGGCAGGATCAAAGACAGGAAAAGGGAGTGATCAAGGAGAGGAAGCAGCATGGCAAAACAGGGAAAAAGGGGCACAGAAGGGGATGGCTGCACGTACACAGTGCACTTGTCTGGCTGTGCCATGTATATCATCGGCGCAGTCTCTTGTCTTACTAAACACTTCCTTTTTTTTTCCTCCTTTTTCTTTTTTCTTGTGTGAAGGGACTCTGTTCAATGCATGTGGATGTCTGTCTAAGGTGCCCACAACTGGAAACCTGAGTGCATGTGTGCGTGTGCAGCAAAAAAGTCAGAGTAGCTGGTGAGTGAGCTGTGAGTTGGCATGGCAACTTTCCAGATGCTGGAAAGACTAGTCTAAGTCAGCTGCTAGAGCCCCCAGGTGGTCTATGCCAGCCATTCTCAAGTCTGTTAAGTCGGCTGTTGGTAAGCCTGGACCAGCTACCAGAGAACAACTTGCATCTGTGTGTGAGGTGATTGGGAGACCAGGGAAGCCTGCGACTAGCTGCTGGGTAGAGCCAATGTCTAAGGAGGAGGGAGCCCTCTAATTACTGGAGGGCTTGGGGGGGGTGGGCCACACACACACACGAGGTGTCTCAGTACCCACTGCTGGAGAGGGGCTGCAGGCCTCGAGGACTCATGTGTCCTGGTGCCAGCAGCTGAGGAGATCAACTCAGGGTCCAGATCCTGGAGCCAGCTGCTAGATAGCTGGTCTTAGACACAAGAGAGATACATAGTATATATGTATATATTTCCTGCTAACAGGTTGATCCTGACCAGCCAGAGAAGGGAATAGGATCAGCCTGTTTGTGCTGTGCTTGCATGACTGCTATGTTTTCTGCCTTAGGTAGAATATGCATATACAGTGTATATGCATATATATACATGCACATATTATATACATGTATATTTTGTGAGCATGAGTGCCTACTGGGAAATGCTAGGGCTTGCTACTGGCTATACCTGAGGACATGGAACTGAGCAGCCTTTTTATCAGGCCAGCTGATTCAGCAGCTCCTCACAGTTGAACTTAGAAAGGACTTCCCTTCTCAGAGCAGGATCAACCAGAGCAGATCGCTCAGGAATGTACCCCATCAGTTCTTTAATACCTCCAAGGATGAGAACTCCACAACCTCCCTGGGTAACCTGTTCCAGTGTCTAACAGTAAGTCACAGGAAGTTTTTTCTTACCCTCAAATGGAATTTATTGTGTTTTGATGCATTCCCACTGCTGCTTCTTTCACTGGATACTACCGAGGGGAGCCTGGCTCCCTCTTCACTCCCTCCCATCAAGTATTTATACACAATGATAAGAGCTACCCAAACCTTCTAATTTCAAGGCTGAGCAGTCCCAGTGCTCTCAGCCTCTCCTCACAGGTCAAATGTTCTAACCCCTTCAAAATCATAGTGGCCTTTCACTGAATTCACTCAAGAAAGTCCATGTCCTTCTTTGTACTGGGGGGCCCAAAATTGTACACAACACTCCAGATGTCTGACCAGTGCTGAATAGAGGGGAAGAATCACCTCCCTCCAGCTACTGGTGATACATTTGCTAATACAGCCCAGATGCTGTTGGCTGCTTTTTCTACAAGGGCACATTAGTGGCTCAAGCGCAACTTGCTGTTCACTATGACCCACACGTCCTTTCCTGCAAAGCTGCTTTCCAGCCAGTCAGCGCCCAGCATCTACTGGTACATAGGACTATTCCCCCACAGTTGCAGGGCTCTGCATTTCCCTGAGTTCAACTTTATGAGCCTCCTCTCTTCCTGTTTCTTCTGTCTATTAAGGCCCCTCTGAATGGAAGCACAACTAATTGATGTATCAACCACTCCCAGTTTTCTATCATCTGCAAGGATAGGCTAAGGTTTATACATGCATGACACAAGCTCATAATCTTATGTCAGCCTCATCAGGGCTTATTTTCTAGATATATGTCATGTAGCAACTTCATTTATTATCTATACTTCATGTTAGACACCTATTACTACGATTGAACTTACTGATGTACTAAAAAGACTCACAGTAAGAGTATCTTGTCAGCTGTTTCTCTTACTATAGTTGCAATGACTTGAGTAGCTGAAGTATGTGTATACCATGGTTCCTTGTGTATACTCTGCTGCTTCTCATGTTGAATAGAAACCAGCCTTCTTGCTTTAAGTTGCAGTTCTTTAGATCTCTGCTTCTTAACCCTTCTGTTATTTACGGTTAAGCAAGACCTTCCCAGGAGCACGAGTGTTAATTTATAGCCTTAAGAATTTGTAGCATTATACGATTATGGAAACACTGATAGCCATCTACAGCAAGTAACTGCTGAATGGCTAGCACTCACCTTCTTCACTAACCTAGACTTAGCTCAAGAACTGAAAAATAAATCTTGAGGTGATTACTCTTCCCAGGTAGGAAAAGATCTTAGGAACATCAGAGTGATTTTTTTATTTCCCCCAGGACAGTTTATTTTGCAGGATAAGGAAGTACTATTCACATGTATTTCATCAAACTACAGCAGTAGCTTCTAATACTTCTCATGTTTTAGGGGTAAACACAGGAGCTGCAGAAAGATAGACTTGGCTAATGGATGGATACTGCCATAACTGGGTTTAAAGAAAAAAATCGGAAGTGTCCATCTGCATATGTAACCTTTAATCCTAATGCAACTGCGTTTCCACATTAAATCTACAGTTAAATGCACAAAGACCATTGGCTGAAACAACTAAACATGGATGTAAAGACCCTGCTGGAACTTATATATGCTAAAGTAAAGATCCCAATCATATTTGAAATAAGGCAAAGAACTCCAACACAGCCTGCTAAGCCACAGGTTTATTTACAAAACATTATTTACAGTCTGTTAATTGTCTTGAGCTCTGATAAATAATAACATTTCCTCCACAGAGAAGGAATAAGACAGACCATCTACACATTTTTCTGTTACAAATACCCTATCCAGACAAGCAAGACTATTCTTTTAAAAAGGGGCAGAGAAAAATGGGTACCTAAAACATTTTCTGTCCATGGCACAAGTAAAGGTATTAAGCAGGTTGGAAGAGATCTAAATATCCCTGCTGAAGTGTGCATGTGCAAAAGAGCAATATGTTGAGGTTACGTGATCACACGAGTTACAACAGGGTGTGCTGCTACTCCCAACTTCTCATCCAAAGAAAGAAGTACACCGTAATTGGTGCTTAAGGCAAGAGTAGCTGAATTAAAAAATACATCACTCACCAGCAGCCTTGTGAAAGAGTGAATAGTTTGTTCCTGTTGTAAAATAAAGAAGACAGAAAGCTGCTGAATTGAGAAGGGATGTAGGCCAGGGAGTGAATGGGCTCAATCTCTACATGTCTGTGTCCTTGTGCTTGTTCCCTGAGTGTCCCGGTCTTATCTGAACTCTCATCTCCAATCTTAACATTATCCACCACCCCCAACCCATTTTGTATGTATCCTTATGTGTCCACTGATGTTCTGAAACTCCAGTATGTGGACTACAGGGATTACTTAGTGTTGCACAGAACTGACTACAAAAGGCAGGGCTGAGAACAGTTTCTGAGACCAGTGCTCTAAAATGTATTGATGGCTGCTGTAGAGCTAAAGCAAGGGGGAACAGAAATGAGTGCAGGTGGTATTGCCTCATGAGCCTTTCCAGTTCTGGTTGTTTTGCTTTGCTTGTCCCAGTCACTTATTTGGAAGCAATTACCATAGGAATGATTCCAAGTGATATCTGGTAAGAATGGGCATTTAGCAAGCTTGAGAGCAATGACTGATCACTCCTTAAAGCCTTGGATGCTACACAGGATCCTCTTCTGATGGCCTGGAAGTGACACTCCCATCTGTTTCAAGTCCCTGAAGGAAATGGGAAAAGAAAAGAAAAAATTAATTGCTGTTCTTGTTCCCTGGGGACTGGGATGAGGGTAAGGGCAGAAACAGTTACCAAGCATTAGTTCAGAAAGCTTCTTTTCCCTCAGTGCCTCCCACTATGTTTACCTTTTCTCTAGAGGGGAGAAACTTCTAGATATTCCTGCCCTTTCCTGGCTACCTCTGCCCACCCAGTCAACTGACTTCTCCCACCCCATGACTAGGCCTGCGCTCCCATTAAATCAAATTAAGCTGTGTTCATGTCAGCTTGTGATATGAGCTATGTCTCAATCCTTTAGCAGGTCTGCCCCTGCACTGTGCCTGTTCATTTGTTTTATATATAAGTGCCCTGGTTGGAGCTGGCTATACCCTACAACAGAACATGCCTGTGCTGGTAAAGCATCTGACCCAAGACCTTCTAAGGAGCCCAGAAGGCCTTTGCTCTATGATAGAACAGTGCCTGGCTGATGGGGGGTGGGGGGTGGATATCACTAGCTGATCTGTAATTCAAGGCAAGAAAATTCTCTTATAAAGTCCTACAAGGGTGGGGAGATAGGCAGGTTAGAGAACTGTCTGCCATCTATTGTTTCCCCTTGCTGTTTGTGTCTGATGTGAGTTCAGAGCAGCTCAGGCCCCTGAAGGGCCTCAAGCATGGACAATGAGGGTATTAGTCTCACAGTTTGGGCTGATCCCAATTCTTCTCAGCTGATTCTTCCCTTTCAGGGCAAGAAGTCAGTCCACTTCCATTTAACTATATAGAGAAGGATGGAGAGAAGCCTTCCAAGTAAAAATGAGTGCCTGTTCAGATATCACAAGGACAGACACAGCTATTTGTAGTATAGACTGGGGTGCCTTGTGGGAGCTTAGCCTGCCCTTACTCAGCAGTGAGCTCCAGAATGGACTCCATGGTGTCCAGGCCAGCAGTGCGAAAGTTGGAGATGTAGCGCTTCATGCGAATGGATTCCAGCCACTCAGGGATGGATCGATAGGGGATCCCATCAGATCCACTGCAGCTGGGGAGCCGGAGTGTTACCCTAAAGACAGATAAAACCCTCATTAGCCAGGCAACCACTTTAAATGGCCAGTACTATGAGAAAGTAGTTAAAGGGCAAACAGCCTCTGCCAGAGCCAGGCCAACTTATCTGCTCTCTGCACAGTGAGGTCAGACTGCCCAGGCCAATGGCTATGCCCTCTGACACCATGAAAGATGACTGCTATTCTCTGCACACAGAGCATTCAAGGTGCTTCTTGCCAGCTGGTATTGCTAGCACTATCTCTGCTCCTGCTGGAGACAGAGAGGCAAAAATCTTCCAGATAACCTCTCCTCCTCCAATGATGGCCTGCTTACCTGGGATCAAAGTCTGCAACAGGCCGGAGGAGCTGGGGACTTGAGATGAAATGTTGCAGCTGTGCACGGATTTCCTGAAAATGAGGCCTCCTCATCCGATCGTGTGACCAACAGCTCTTCATGAGCTCGTAGAGGATAGATGGGCAGTCCACAGGTGGGGGGAGCCAGTACCCATCCTCTAAGCTTTTCATCACCTGCACAGAGGACAGACAGAAATTTGGCCAAGAGCAGAGAGTCGCAAATAGGAGCCAGAGACCTCTGTGGGGCTGGGAGCAGGCAGTTCACCATTTTGCACAGTGTGCAGTCAAGGAGGTGTTAAAGCAAGTTACATATGTATAAAGCAGGGTTTGGGGAGCACAGCAAAGGATCAGGACACCTAAGGTATGTCAAAGAGTGAAGTGGTATATGCAGGTACTTTCAATCCTTAACTAACCTAGCTCCCGTTTGCCATTCAGGGCACATGTTCATGAGAAGTGAGGACCAAATGATCCTGGCAGAGGTCTGGTGAGAAAAGGGGAACCAGACTCTGAGGAATAATTTCAACAGCATGTGCTAAACTCACAGATGTGCTGAACCTCGAATAAGTATGAGACCAGACATAATACTCCAGAGCCAGAGGAAGGAGAGAAAGAAATCAAGAGAACACCTCCAGACTCAAAGGGCATGGCTGATTTAACCAGTCTTTAATTTGGCTCATTGCTGTTGACACCTGAACATGGTTCAGAGGCCCAAACACTTATTGCTCTTGACTTGGTTGCATTGATTTTTAGAAGGGAGGGAGACATAGTAGTTATGCATTCAAAAGAATGTCAAGACTGCAGGCTGAAGATCTACAAAAGTTGGGCCTACATTCCTTGTTTATTTTTTTAAATCAGCACTTGAGCTCAGTGTCTGTTACCTCTTGATTGGTCATGTCCCCATATGGCTTGTCACCAAATGAAAACACCTCCCACATGACAATTCCAAAGCTCCAGACGTCACTGGCTGAGGTGAAAATCCGATGAGCAATGGCCTCTGGTGCTGTCCAGCGGATGGGAATCTTACCACCCTGTGAAAGAGCAGAGACATAGTGTATCCAGCATGTATCATTGAGTTGTATTTCTCCAGTGCTTTCATGCAAGGAACTTACAAAATGGTTCAAAGACTGGGCCCACTTCACTTGAAGTAACGTTTCCCTGCGGAAACTTCTCAAAAGGACTGAAATATTCTTGGAAAGTGAATGAGTTTAAGCCCTCTGTTCATTTGAATGGTGCACAAAACCACTACTGTGGGAGTAAGAGCCTGACAGCAGTCATATCTTTACATTGAATGACACCAGACACTAGAATTGCTGGAACTTTCATTACAAGGGACCTGATGTCTCTAGTCCAAACCTCTGATGACAGCAGGGCTATCTTCAAAGCTAGATTTAGTTAATTGAGTCCAAAAGATCAGACCTCTTATTTTGCTTCTCATTTCAAACCACAATTCCTCTGAATCTCTTAGCAAACAAAATCAACTTGGACTTTAGACAACTTCTGAATCATCCACATGGTGTCCTGCAGTTTTATTATGGGTTTTCCTCAGAGATTTTCTATTCAAATCTTCCCCTGGCCTGGTGTTTCCTATTGTGAAGAAATTCTTCCATTCTTATCTGGCAGAATCCCAATCCCCCTGAGACTCCCATTCATTTACAAGACTGAGAGATTGTTTTTGCATTACCTTGGTTTCATAGGTTCCTTCTGCATCATTCTCCAATATTCGGGAGAGACCAAAGTCAGACACCTTGCATTGAAGACTGCGTGTTACAAGGATGTTGCGAGCGGCCAGATCCCGGTGCACATAGTTGTGTTCTGAAAGGTAGGTCATGCCAGAGGCTATTCCCTGCAGCATGCTCACAAGTTGCACAGGGCTAAATTTTTCCTCATTCTCCTGCATGGAAGAAGAAGTGAGAGAACATCCTGGTCAAGTGACATTAACCTGCTTCGTTTCTAGTTACTGGCCTAATCAACTTGCAAAAGTGGGAACTGGTGAACAAGCAAAAGAGAAATGCTGCAACCCAAAGGACCCAAGAAGTTCTCACTAAGGGACTGGTGGTGGTCTCCAGAGTCATCATTAGGACCTGCACTTCAACTACCAAACACAGCACTCTGGACACTGAGCAAACTGGATGGCATCAAGCTTCAATGTCTCAGACTGGAAATGTTAGTGAGCAGAAAGTAAGTGGATGTCTGGATCTTATTTTTTAATCGTCTTTTCCTAAATCCAGGTCAAGTGCAAGTTCCAGCATTACACAAGCCTATTACAGATTGTAGTTTCTCACCCGGAGGAAGGTATCCAGTGCTCCATTCTCCATATATTCAGTGATTATCATCATTGGTCTCCCTTGAGGACAACAAGAATGTGTCAGACTTTTCAATTCTACTCTTGCCTTTCAATGCTCTCCACATTTCTCAACACAGAGAACCATACCCAACCCCAGCCAGCATCCCCCCTCCAGTAGCATAGCTGGCTGACCCTTCTCTTTAGAAGTCCCCCAATGATTTTGTATTCCTCCTTGTGTCACACATATAACCTTACAGCATCCCTTACACTATCCCAAATTCTCATCCACTCACCAACCCAAGAAGACCTCTCCTAATGTTGCCTCATGACTCTGTTGGAAATCCATACCTCTCCTCCCTTCCTCATTCTCTGCTATAGGCTAACGTGACAATGCCTGGCTTCTCCCAGCACACCCTCTCTGCCAGCATCCGCTCTAAAAAAGATCTGAGAAATGTGCCAGTTTCTGCTCTCATTCCAAGTCTCCCTCCCACACACTCTTACTTTTGGTGACAACTCCTTCCAGACGCACAATGTTTGGGTGATTGAATTGCCCCATAATTGTTGCCTCACGCAGAAAGTTCCACCACTGTGAATCTGAGTACGTTGGCTTCAGGGTCTTGATGGCAACCACGATACGTTCTTTTCCTGGGAGCCGCAGGGACCCACGATAGACCTCCCCAAACTCCCCTGAGAACAACAGGAGGCAAAAGGTCACAGATGAACTCAGGAATAGGCAGCAAAATAAAGAGTGTGGGGAAACTGAAAGATGGGGAGAGCAACAAGTAACTCACCCTCTCCAATCACATTTTCCATAGTGACACAAGACACGTCCAGTTCCTTAGTGAATTCCAGCACCCCTCTGCTGGGGTCATCATATGGTTGCAGGTCTACATAGGGCTTCAACCAGACTTTCTCTATGGTAAAGGGAAACAAAAGAGCAAATTAACTTGTCAGCTCTTTGGACAAGATTTGTAGGGCAAAGCCACAGCAGCAGAGGTGAATCCATGGGATTCTGACAATGGCAGTAAACAAATCTACCAAACATACATTGACAACTACAACTGTTACGGGAAGAGGCAAATTACATCAGAAAATCCATGCCAGTGTCTGGTTTGAAACTACTGTTTCTTTTCATTCCTTCCAATCCATTCCAGGCTTCTCCCTGGTTCTGCTACCCCTTTGAAGCTCACCTCGATCAAAGCCTGAAGTATGATAATCTGGCCGTGCTTGCCTCCGACGAGCCTGCCTGGAACACAAGAAGCAGTCATAAAACGGTCAGCACATAGCAAAGAGAAAAGCAAGATTTCCAGGGTGTCTTCCCTAGCTGGTCAGGGACAGACTTCAGGCTAGCACACAGCAAAGAGGAACCAGGCACTGCACCTACTTGGAAGTGTACAGTTAGCAAGAAAATGTGATGCTTCATTTACATTTAGAAATGGAGCTTTGTTTTCATGCAGGTAGTTTTGTTCATCCTTCTGCTTGCTGAACTACAGATTAATTTTTATTTAGTTTTGTTTTCTGTACACTTTCAGTACAATACCTGATCTTCTTAAAACCAAACAATAGCAGCCTTATAGGCATTTAGAAAAGAAGCAGAATTTTGTACCTGCAGAGAGGACCACTAAAGTAATGGTATATGGAAAACGGTTTGAAATGACTGGATACATGTATTGCCCACCTAATTGATCAGCAGCTATAGAAATGATTGTACCATAACAATATTTTCATTCATCTGTCATTGTAACAGTATGATAGTGATGGATTATAACAAAACTGAGAAATCACCACATTTCCCTCTGTCCTCAGCAGCGAGCATTACCTTACAGATAATCTTACAGACTATCAATTCCTCCAACCCTGCTAATCGAAATTACTTACTGAGACTCATTCCATCTTGCTGCAGCACAGTGGTCATACTCTTTCTTCTCTAATTAACCTCTACCTATCCAATATCCTGTGAGAAATCAGGGCCTCCCTCCCTTTTCTCAAGCTCCTATAGCTCAGCTATTCCTACATCTGTACCTTTTTCAATACCAAAAATCAACACTTACTTTCTCCGAAAGATGAGAAGTCCCAGAAGCAGCCCAATAAACAGCAGAACACCGAAAATGATAGAGACTATGACACCACCAGACAGAGCTCCCGTGTCTGCAGAAACAAAGAGAAAGGCTATATAATTTAAAAGACTGTTTGTCTGGAATCTAGCAACCAGCTTCTACCAGCCCATGGTATTACAAAAGCTATGGCCATTTCTCTTCCAGGCAGCAGAGCCACCAATTTGAGTCCTATCACATTGTTATTCATGTGCATGGAGCACCTTCTGGTGGCTATCCAGTTGATTCTTATCTACAGTCTTCGTCTTCTATTTGAGTAATTCATCCCTATGCCTGATTTCCCACATAAATTCCATGACACTTTGAAAAATGAAGAACCACTGTTCCTTCCCTCTCACTCCTCTCCAACTACTCTTTCAGATCAGACCCTTCTTCCTGCTCGGTAGCTGATTTAGATTATGGCACACCAAAGACATATTTTCCCCAACAGTCTAATTGACTCTCTTCTTGTTTATGAAATTAATTTCCCCTTCCATCAATATCTGGGGCTGGTCCTTCACCTAATTACCTTGACAGAAGCCACTGTCTGCTTAGGACTTTTGAAACAAGTAGGTACTGACTTACGAACTTGCAGTCTAACATCATATTCCTGCTTTCTCCAAATTAAGCATCAGATGGTTTCATTTTGTGATTGGATAGCATTCATATAGTATTCACATAACACACGTTGTCTTCTTCCATTTAGATTCTCAAGCTAAAGCCATCCATTTCCATACAGTATCTTTGAATTCATCAGAGGAAATGCTAAATGACCTCTGTTGGTAAAGTATATGTTTTTAAACCTTATTTCCCGTAACTTAAAAAACTACTTTAAAAAATGAAAAATACAATAATAAAAACTGTTCATATCCATATCTAATAAGAATCTACATTTTTTAATATTTTCCCTAAAGATATTTAGGAAAAAATCCAGAAGAAAGAAAATTCTTAAAGAAATTGTTTCAATAATGATCAGATCTTAAAGTAAGGAATTGCTTGTGTGACAAAGACAACTGTGTCTGGAAGTGTTTCCTGACATCCAGTCCAATGGTCAGCATCCATGAAGCCTAATTAACACTTGTTATTCTTGCTCAATTTGATGCTGACTCATCCCACTAAAGTTATTAAAAATCACCAGCTTAGTTAAGCAGAAATCAAGAGGCAGAACTAATGTTCCTTTTTGTTAAAATCAAAAAGGCAAGATTTGGAAGGTAAAATAGTATCTTTTATTAATAAAATGGACAAACTTATAGGTACACAGCACTTCTGCAGGAAATTAAGGGATCTAAATTCTGAAATTCAGATTTTTAAAAATTGCCTTTCTCTACAAAGCTTGTTCCACTAATATCCCAAGACCATTCCCGCTAAACAATGCTTCTAATATTATCAAAGAAGAACTCCAACCAAATGAAACTTCACTGGCACTTCTTTTTAATCCCTTTCATATTCAAAATACCTTTGTCTTGGCATGATGAGGTGATCAACTTTTATTTTAAAAAAAGCATAATCTTCATGAAAGTATTTTCTAACATGCCCTTTTATAATCAAAACCATTTAACGTACATGTTAACTTACATATTTTCCACAGAACCTTTGTTGTACATTATGCTGTTGGTTAAAGATCATTTATGTCATCATCATTTGGCATTGCAACATCATGAAAATTTTACCAAAAGCTCCTGGTGCCAAAAAAAGCCCAATCTTTAAATGATATTCCAATCATGGTATCACAACTCCTTATGAGCTTTTACAGTTAACTATTTAGTTAATCTATGCCTTTGCTTTTGTCCATGTCCTTATTTCATCACAATAAAACTAGCCTTTAAAAGTCATCATTTCAACACGTGTATTTCTAAAATTGTCCATAGGATCAATAGGAGGATCTGTGAATGTGTGGAATGAAGAGAGAGCAAACTCCATTATAGAAAATTTTTATCAAGGGGAA